TGGGTGTCCCGGGGCCTCCCCCGGGCTCCTCTGGCCCGTCTGAGGTCCCTGCGGCCTCCCCAGGGCCGGCGCTGCCCCGCAGACTGTGCGGCTTGTCATGACCCCCGCGAGGTGAAGGAGGCGCCCAGGGGATCGAAGCTGCGGCCCACAGGATGCAGGCCAGAGAGACAGAGTCCTCTGTAAGTGAGGATGAGGTTCGTGGCCTTCTGAGGAACCCAGGGATATGTGACTCCGTGGGAGCTGGTGAGATGCATCCCTGAGTCCTGAAGGAGGTGGTGGGTGTAGTTGCCAAACCACTGTCCGTGGTATTTGAAAAGTCGTGGCAGTCAGGTGAAGTCCCTGGAAGAAAGATTGGAAGGAAGGAGATGTTACGCCCATGTTTTAGAAGGGCAGAAGGCAGGACCCTGGGAATTACCTGTCAGCCTCATCTCCGTGAGTGGGAAGATCATGGAAGACATGCTAAGGCATGTGGAGGACAAGGAGGTGATCCAGGGCAGCCAGCACAGCTTTAGCAGGGGCAAATCCTGCCTGGCCAACCTAGTGGCTTTCTACAACAAAGTGACCACATCAGCTGAACACGGAAAAAGCAGTGGATGTCATCTATCTGGACTTCTGCAAGGCCTTTGATATGGTCCCCCACAACATCCTTCTCACTAAATTGGAGAGAGATGGGTTTGATGGGTAGACTGTTCAGTGGATAAGGAACTGGCTGGAGGGTCACATCCAGAGGGCAGGGGTCAACAGTTCTAAGTCCAGATGGAAAACAGTGACAAGTGGTGTCCCTCAGGGGTCAGTGCTGGGCCCAGTGTTGTTTCATATCTTCATTAATGATATTGACAGTGGCATTGAGAGCACTCTCAGCAATTTGCTGATGACACCAAGGTGGGTGGTGCAGCAAACATGCCAGAGGGATGGGATGACATCCAGAGGGACCTCTGGATAAGCTGGAGAAGTGGGCCCAGGTGAACCTCATGAGGCTCAACAAGGCCAAGGGCAGGGTCCTGCTCCTGGGCAGAGGTAACCCAAGATATGAACACAGGCAGGGGCAGGTCACGCTGGAGAGCAGCCCTGTGGAAAAAGACCTGGGGGTACTAGTGGATCAAAAACTGGACATGGGCCAACTCCCTCGTGGGCTGTAGCAAAAGAAGTGTGGCCAGCAGATCAAGGGAGGTGATTCTGCTCCTTACTCTGCTCTGATGAGACCTCACCTGGAGTTCTGTGTCCAGCTCTGGTGCCCCCAGCACAAGAAAGATGTGGAGCTGTTGGAATATGTCCAGAGAAGGGTCACAAAAATGATCCAAGGGCTGGAGCAGCTCTTTGATGAGGACAGGCTGAGAGAGTTGGGGGTGTCCAGTCCAAAGAAGAGAAGGCCCCAGGGGGACCTCATAGTGGCCTTCCAGTGCCTGAAGGGGCTACAGAAAAGCTGGGGAGGGGCTTTTTACAGGGGCTTGTAGTGAGAGGACAAGGGGTAATGGTTTTAAGCTGAAAGAAGAGAGATTTAGTTTAGAGATCAGGTGTCAATTCTTGAGTGTGAGGGTGGTGAGAGCCTGGCCCAGGCTGCCCAGGGAAGCTGTGGCTGCCCCATCCCTGGCAGTGTTGAAGGGCAGGTTGGATGGGGCTTGGAGCAGCCTGGGCTGGTGGGAGGTGCCCCTGCCCATGCAGGGGGGCTGGGGCTGGATGAGCTTGAAGGTCCCTTCCAACACAAAAAAAATGCTGTGATTCTGTGATCTCCCCCAGGGGGATGGGGTGGTGGTGCCACCACCAGCTCCCAGCTCCAGCTGAGCCCCACGTGGAAATGGGTGTTTCCCTGCTGGAACAAGCGTTTGTCACCCAGCAGCTGGTGGTGCTGCTGCTCTGGCCAGTGTTTCATGTCCTGCCAAATAAAAGGTTATTTTATCCTCTTCCCTACCCACGTGCTGGAAAAAGCAGGAAGCCCCTCACCCTTTTTGCAGCAGCAGAAGGGGTTGGAATCGAGGTGGTTTGGGGTTCAGGCCTTCTTGTGTGTCCTTTGCTCATCCTCTGGCTCCCTGCTGGCTGCAGCTTTGGAGGGGGAGAGCTGTGGCTGTTCTATCCCACCCGGTCTGTGATAGGAGGAGACATCTTGATCAAGAGTCAAATTTCCTTTTTTTTTTCTTTTCTCTTTCTCAGTTTGGAGATGAAAGCCTCCATGAGCCAGCCCCAGGAATCCCTCCAGTGACACTGCAGAATGGGCCCAGCCCTGATGTAGCAGGTACTTCTGCAGCCAGAGCACGAGCAATTCTGCTTTGAATAAATAGCTGGAAACCTCCCAGGACTCCTCAGATCCCTGACTGGGACCAAGCACCTCCTGCCCTGCACTGAGTCCCAGAGGGGTCTGCCCCATCCCTGCGTGTTGGTGCCAGGTTTTCTCCAAGAGACAGAAGCCACCCTGTTTAAGCAGTGCCACCCCCAGGGGACTCCTGTGTCCCCAGTTGTCCAAGGAACAGCCTGTCTCCCCATGTCCCCTGTTGCCTGCCTGGGGAGGCTGGCAGAGCCTGGTGTGTAGGGACATTTGGGGCTGTGCACACAGATCAGGGGAGGAGAGAGCGGGTTCAAGAAGAGCTTTATTGAGGGATCCTGGCCATAATAAATAGGGGTTACACCTAGAGACAGTGGTGAGGGGCTGGGAGGT